ATTAAGTAATATTTGATGCTTTAAATATTTAATTTCATATTTTACCGAATCATAAGATATAAGTCAATAGAGGCATGCATCTTTTTTTTTTTTTTGGAAGACATGCATCTTTTGTTAAATGACTGCTTGTGGTATGAACTATGAAAAACCATTTTTGTTACAATTATGACTTCAAAAAATTTAAATTTTAAATTCAAACATTAAAATGGATTGAGATTAGGTTGAGAATAGAAAAAGCTATTTATATAAGAAGAATATAAGTTAAAATCTCTATGATATTAAGTAACTAATTTTTTAATTTGCTAAATAGGATAAATATATTAAAAGCTTAATGACACTAAAATTCCTCCAATTTTACAGAAGAAATCATTATCATCCTTCCACTTTAAGACAGTTCATAATGATCCCTCAACTTTAGAGAAGGGGCCAACCATAAATCCCTCCATTGTCGGATGTTATAACACCGTCAATTCATATGTTAAAATTCTTCAAACTTTAATTGTAAAATTATATTAGTTGGTCCCTTAACTTTATATTTTATGCATTTTGATCCTTAAAATTCAATTTTATTCAATTTAATCCCTAATCTCAACTTTCTTTATAACAATTTCGTTTTAAAACTTTTGAAAGAGATGCACTTAAATCTCAAAATTTCTAATTTCATGCATTTTGGTCTTTTTCAAATTAATAAAAATTATATAACTTTTAATAAAATCACATTTAAGTATTCAATTTATTTAAATATTAATAAAATTAAGCATGAAATTGTAAAGTAAAACATATAAAATAATATAATCAAAGTGTAAAATCAAGTCTTAAAAAAGTTTGGGAATCAAATTTTAATAAAAAAAAGTTGAAATTAAGGATCAAATAAAATAAATTTAAATTTTGAAGATCAAAATGCACAAGAACTGAACCTAAAGGGTCAACTACGTTATTTTACCATTAAAATTTGGGAGATCTTAAGTTCTTCACAGATGAATTGATTGTGTTATACCATCCGTCAAAATGAAGGGATTATGGTTGACCTTTTCTTCAAAGTTGAGAGATTATAATGAATTGTTTTAAAGTAGAAGGATGAAAATGATTCTTTTTTTACAGTTGAAGGATTTTTAGTGACATTAACCTTATATCAAAAAACTGAATTGTACTGTAAAAATCTAGAAATATCTAAAAAGTATTTTATGATCTTCCCTTTTTGAGAATTGGGTTTCCAAATTTCAACGAAATCTCCGCAAATCAAAGATATTAGTATCAATGTTGTACATGGAATCACAAAATTGTCTTTCTAATCTACTTTTATAAAAAAATCGTAAGAATATCTAGAAAATTATAGTAAATATTTTTGAAAAAATTAATTATTAAGAATATTTAATAAATTTTATAAATATTTATGAATTAGCTTAAAAAAAGTTGATTAGACCGTTAATTTTGTAATTAATTAGTCCGATAAGAATTAATCCCCGCTTACGTGGCAACAGCTAATCCGTCAAGGAACCAGCCCCCCACCTGGGTCCCGCACGCCACATTCATCACCCGCCAACCTCCTCTCCAAAAAATAAATTAAAAATGGAAAACCAAAATCTCTCGCCGATAGTTATCCCTTCATAAAAGCAAAAGCCAGAATCTTATTGCGAGATATAGCGCTGGTGGGCGGGCGAAGGAGAAAAGCTGCGTCTGTCGTTGGTTTCAATGGCGGATTTGGAAAAGCAAGATGGGGCCGAGGAGGAGGAGAGCTTGATAGAGGGAATGGCGGTGTTGGATTTTGACCTGCTGTGCTCCTCCGTCGCGTTGCAGACCCAGGGGAAATGGAGGCAGCTTCAAAATGGTGAAGATCTTGGTCGGGATGGGGAAAACGGCGACTTAGGGGGAGTTTTTAGGATGTGGGAAGGGGAGGTTTTTCTCGATTGCTTCGATGACCGCCGCATCGCTCTCGAATCCGCTTGGTGCGTCTTTGTTGTGTTGGTGTTTGTTTACCTGGAAAAACTCTGGGCTGCCTTTGGTTTTTCGAAATTTTCTTTTTTTGGTGGGAAAATTTCATCTTTTTCTTGAAATTTCCAGATTTTTAGGACTTGTATTTCTTCCCTTTGTTTTTCTTTTTAATTTATTTTTTAGGGTTTTGGGTATGTAATATATAGTCCATGGATCCAGTCAACAGGAGTTAATTTGTTTTAGTTTGTTCAAATAAAAGAATTAAATTTTATTTGTGATGGCCAAAAAAATTATATATTTGTGGGAAATATTGACTTTTCTTTATTATATGTCTGAGTATGTGTTTAATGTTGCAGCTGCCCATGCTACAGATTCGGGAAGAACATGAAGCGGGCTGGTTTCGGTTCTTGCTTTCTTCAGGTAAAATTTCCAATTTTTAGAAGTCAAAATGCCATTTTTAGAAAAGGGTTGTTGTCAATTTTGTGATTGGATAGTCAACTTCTTGTTCGCAAATTGTATGTCTTTCTATTTTTTTTGGATTTTTTTGAGTTTCTTCTAGGGGTAATGACTGAATTCTTCGCTTAATATTGTAGGGAAGTGTATATTTCATTCTTGCTCTCAGTGTCTTTCTCAACTTGATTGCCTTTATTGTGACCAAGCGGCAATGCTTCCTTTATTTGGCTATTGCTTTCACAATATCATTTGGAGCATATATGGGCTTCTTCCGTGCACAGATAAAAAGAAAGTTTAACATCAAGGTCAGAACTTTCTTTTAAATCTTTTCTGAATGCTAGAGTCTAATATATTGTCTTTAGGTTGTCAACTTCTTTCTTTATTTAAGTTGTAGTTGTTTTATATCAGGCTGTGTCCACCCTTCTATCAGTAATTGTAATATGCACTTCTTAGTTGCTGAATCAATTAGAGGTTTGAATTTTGGATTTAGTAGGCTTGTAATGCATTGGTGTTTCTTGAAACTTTTTCTGCAATTGTGGTAACTATAAGTTACTAAATTTCTATTGCTTTCATGTTCTTCTGGGACTGAATTTTGATGGAATGAGATAAAATCAAATGAGAAATTGTTTTATGGTGGTGTCTAGGTGGAAATGGTGGTTGATTGACAATGGCAATGGTAGAGTGTGTGTGTGTGTGTGTGTGCGTGTTTTTCCTTCCACTCTTTTGGACTGAAAGTTGACCTTCGAGTTGGAAACCATACAAAATAAACCAAAGAAGGCATCAGTGCAAGTAATGGCATATACAAGAGTTGTGGTAATGTCCTGTTGGTGACCGTAATGCATGTGGAATTTTGGAATAGAAACTAGCAATCAGAGGATGTAGGTTCTTTATATTCCTCTACTGACCTTTGATTTAAGTCTGACATTGTCTTGTCTCTAAGACTAATATCCTTTTCTTCCTTTTGCTTATCAAAGCATAAACTTGGATAAATTGCCACATATAAAAATGTCTTTACTTTCCCCTTTCTTGCATACAAAATTTTCCTAATACACTGACTTCTTTGGGAATTATGATTTTTTGCAGGGTAAGGATAGCTTCTTGGATGATTGGATATCCCATCTTTTCTGCCCTTGCTGCACATTGTCTCAGGTTCTTCTCCTAACAAAGCCCAAGTTTTCAAAGTTTGAATATCGTATTTCCATCACAACCAAATGGCATCCAAAGTTCACTTGATCACAATTTAGTGTTTTTAAAATTGTAAAAAAAGGAGGATTAAAAATTCATAACCTTTATAGTATAGGTTTGTCTAAAATTAGGCCATATCTTGGGCTCTCTGATTCTTGAATATCAATAATTAGTGTTATTCATGTATGGATCAGGAATCTCGAACATTGGAGATGAACAATGTCCATGAAGGAACTTGGCATGGTCGTGGTGATACAATATGCATAGGTAGCTATAGTGAAGGGAGCAACATTGAACTACACCCTCCTCTTGTGTCAACCAAGTCTCCTGATCCCTGCTTCATGGAAAAGAGTTTGAATGGTGTTAATCATGCTTAAACTAGGGAAGCGGTCTGCATGTCTGGAGACCTTGGCACCTTCATTCCAGCATCTGCTGCAACACACTGATAACCTATTTAATTTACTGTCAGATGGAAGGAAAATACTTTAGCTGTTCTTGCAGCTTGGACTTGGAAATACAGATTTCTGGATGTCAAATGGTGACCAATATACAAGGAGAGACAACATGGCTTAGTAGCATATAAGAAAACTTCCCACATTCTAGCAATATGAGGAGTTTCAATGACACCCTTGTTCTCTGTATGTAATTTATTGAAGTCATCATTAGATTTGTTAAGAGAACCTTGAAGCTATACCTCATTCATCTTACATTGTTCATTTGGGTAATGCCCTATGCAAAGCCCATGCTGTGCTGTGATTATTTCGTGCATCAATCTCACGAAAATCTCTAAAGAAAAGCGGTTGACTTGTTGCCTGTTTCATGTGGCTTGTTTAAGGAAAAATGCAGCTTCTACTCTGCATTTTGTGTTGTCTTTGGTCCTAGTTTGGCTCGGACCTTCTTTTCTTTTTTTTTTTTTTTCATACAATAATGTCGAGTTGTCTGATTCGATGTTGATTTGTTTATTTGCTAACCTCATCAATTTGAATTGGAAGACCAAGTTGTCTCTATTTTATAAGAAAGATTAAAGTTCTTTTCCACAGGATTGGGTCATATATAGCTAGCTTTGTCTCTATTTTATAAAAAGAATACAAGGTTTCTTCCACAGGATTAGGTGATATCTAGCAAGCTTTAAGGCCTCTGGAATGCATTGGAAAATCTAGTTGGCCTTTTGAATTGCAGCAATGACACCAAACACGCGAGAACAGAACTCTGAGGAGAGGTGCTCGGACTCCTGAAGAAGATTAGAAGTTGATAGCTTACTTTCAGAAATATGGCGTCTGGAACTGGACAGAGATCCCAAAATATGCAGGTTTTAAGAAAGAATTGGAATTTTCATTTTGATGTACTAGTTTCTTTGCCTAATCTCTCAACTTATAGGGGTGCGAAGGTTGGCAAGAGCTGTAGATTTTGTTGGATGAACTACCTAAGGCCAGGTATTAGGCATGGAAACTTCACCATGGAAGAAAATGAAATCATACTTCAGTTGCATAAAAGCCTTGAAAATCTGTAAGCTGTCAAAGTTTCCATCAATTTATGGAATTTGAGCAATTTTCACTTGGAAAAGGTAAGTTGTTGAAGTTCATAAAAGTTTCTATCAAGTTGGTCTTGGGGTTTTCTGCATTAGATTAGGGTAACATTTGCATCTTCTAATATATCTGCAGATGGGCTGCAATAGCAGCAAGGCTACCAGGC